TGTAACTTCATGCATAAATTCATAACAATATAAACCGTGCTCCGATCGTGTACCCGTAAGCTATTAATTACTTCTATAACCATCGTGGTACTGCACAAATTATATATAATATCATTGTAGAGAAGATGCAGATTGAAAAAAAGTTGGAGCACAATACAACAGAGAATGTAGTAGACGGTAATCGGCCTACAAAAAGAACGATAATAATCATGATAACAACAATAATTTATCTTTATTACAAGCACTCATTAACTTATTAACCAAGGACGATGGTTGTCGTTTATGTTCATCTCCATCTTAGGCCGATTTATAATTCTCTCATTTATTCGCCTACAAATTCTCGCGCTAAATTGAATCATAACGTTAAAAAAAAACTCGAATTAAACCATAATTACGTTCATAATCAAGGAACAACACGGTTGACAAGCGAAGTTATCAAAAATGAAAAAGAAAGATGGAAAGATGCTGGAAACCAGTTAATACTGTGCAATTAAATATCGCGATTAATAATCCGACTTTAAATAATACCGCTAATGCGCACGGACATTCCGATTATCAATGAAACGACCAAACAAAACGAACGAATCGCTAATTGGTAAATACACCTGTATACAATCTGTCCCGAGAGAGTGCACTGGCGATAGCCACGAAAGCTGATCCCTAATGAGGGAGAGATCGCGATAATCTAATCATAAACCTTGACGGCGCGGTAACTGATTGAATAAAAAATTCTATGGGCGACCGAATGTTCTATATAATCTCATAAATAACTGAATACCAAATTATCGAATCTCTATAATTACCAAAACTTCATTTCAGTATTTTCATTTAAGTTTCAGTAGGTGAAAGGCAATAAAATGTACAATATAACTAAAAACTTGAAGAAATTAAGGTTTCATTAAATTTTCTACAAACATACTAATTTTCCCAGTGACAGCCAGCATGTTCTCACAACACAAAGTATGAGGCCCATTACACACTATCAGTCTGCTAAAAATTCTTTCCTTATCTATTATTGTCGACGAACCAAGAAGACCATTGAATTAATATCAAACTGAAATCCATTTAAACAAATGAAGAGTATTTCACAGAACCAAAATCGAATCAATCTAACCGATAGTGTGTGTATCAGGCCCAAGTCAAATCAATAGCGGAAAGATAACGGACGCGTCGGAGAAAAAGAAAAGGGCTCACCTGCAGCTGATGCTGATGATGATGGTACATCCCCGGTGGCGTGGGACTGTCCGGCTGGGCCTGTTTGTGCCTCTTGTTGGACTGCTGCGCCCCTCTGGAGGAGCTCAGGTCCTCCGGCTCCCTTTTCACGCCGGTGATGCCGGCGCTTGACGATCCGTCGTGTCTGAGCGACTGCGGGCTAAGCGGAAGCGGAAGGCCGCCTTGCAGGCTCTGCCCGGGACTGTGGGACTGCTGGTTGTACTGATGGAGGAAGTGGTGTAGCTCCCCTCCCCCGGCGCCTTCGCCGCCTTCCATGCGATTCGCCGAACCGGAACCGGAGCCAGGCGCCTCCTGCACCAGCAGCTTCGGGCCCATCACACCCCTTCAACAGTCCGTGGAGAATCGCGCTTTAGCGGCGCGCGTTGCGCCCTTCTTTCTTTTATACGTGGGTATTTTGGTAGATGTGAGTCGTTCACAGGGCGAAGTATAATTAATTCTGTTTTTTACATTTTCTCAAGTTTCAGTGATAAAATACTGGACTGCTGTTTGATGTGCTAGAGCTCGTGGAATGTTTGCCTCGCGCAGTTAACGTTGCGGAGTAATGAGAATAATTGATTTATAATTCCTTAGAACACTTAGGAGAAAATGTTTCTTAAGATTTGAAATAGTTTGAAATACCTATTATTATTGTATTGGGGCAAATGCAGGGATTTATTGGAATTTGAAATGGTTCATTTTTAACATTTTGTAGTTCTAGTGTTAACTTGGCAGATGGACGGCTCAGATAGTATGCACGACTTTTGGAAGGGAGTTCTTCCGGGATATCCCAGGATCGATCGTGACCCGTGTGTACATATGCTAAGTGCGCGTGTCGAATTCGCGACACTCCGCGTTGCCTCGATGGAATTCGCTCCTCGTACCCAAAAGGTTCTCTGTCTGGGATTATTGGCAGGAAGCGGCTGGGACCTTTTCACTGGTGGATCATTGTTAGGGAAGAAGGAATAACATTAGGCTGTTGTGCGTATTCCGGGTGTCAATTTCTTAGATAGGGTAGGAAAGATTTTATTCGGGAAACTGTTCTTGTGATATCTGAGATCTGTACGCGAAATTGATATTGAATTACTATGTCTAATGCATTCGAAATTCTGCAGTGACTAATTTGTATATTATATTTTCGAATTGTATCGGAAGGAGAACAATGAACATTGTAAAGTGGCAAAGAAATGAAAGAAGAAGTTTTACACTAGTAATTTTAACACTAGATTTACGGACATTTGTTCTATCGTTTTTAGAAGACTACATGTTTGTTTATATAGGTCGCGAAAATTAGAGTTTCAAGAACAGAGAATTCTAATCTGTATTCGCGTAATTGCATCAATCAAAATCGACTTACACAGTTAACAAATAGTGTTTAAAAAATTCAATGTGCGTCAAATTGACGGGTTCGGTTAATCTAGTGTTACAATAGACATTGTTTGTTTGTAGAGAAAGCAATGCAGTAGAACCTTATGAAGAAACTGCTCCAGAAAGCAACGAATAATCAAATTTTTCTGGAGGACATGATAAATAACCATTCGAACGTTCGTCCATTGAGAACTTATCAATGATGCTTGTCTGCAGCCTCGAGGCGAATCGGCGGGCAATTAATTAACGCTCGAGTGGCATTCGCTTATCGTTTATATTTAGTAATGATTGGAGACCATTGATATTTATCCGGCGATCGCGCTTCGTCTCTGTTTTTCTCTTTTTCTACCAAGAAAAGCAGCTTATTGCGAAACGCAAGCCATAACGTTATTGACGAGACACATTACGCCATATTTATTCGCCGTGACGGACCTTGAAAATCTATGAATTAATTATACTTTTTCCCTCTCGCGGACGCTTGTTACGCCGGCCGCGATGATAATCGTCCATCGCGATGACAAATGTGCCGCAGAAATCGCGGTGTCGATCGATGCCATCGCTTCGTCATAAAAGCTCGATCCCTGCCATAAATCGCCCGGATCGTTAGTTAATACGGTATTAACATTACCGCTTCCCACGGGCCCATACGATTTAGCCAGCGCGAGCGCCAATCGATTCGACGGGCTCGACAACCCAATCATCTGCGACACGCGAAAGCCTATTATTATCTCGACCAGGATGGATTTTATATTTCCCCGGAACAGCATTCGTAATTAAATGATCGGAGATTTGACGCTTGACAGCGTCGAATTTCTGTTGATTTTCATTCAATCTCGGCAGAGCCATTAAACCTCTGATTTATGAATTTTTTCCAGTTTCCCTGTGTCTCCTAGACACTTCTCTATGCCGCAGAGAATACCATTTGTTCAGTGATTTCTTTAACCTTCCCGTTGCTACCTTCTCAAAGCTTCGAGGAGTCACATTACACACTCGGAATCATCTGCATCGTCGCTCGTATCGTTGACGGTAGAATTACCAACAAACTCACAATCGTACGATTATTTTATTACCACGAATCGTTTCATGCAAATATCCCTTCCCCGATCGAGCAGTATCGCCAGCGAAAAGTTCGTTGATACTACGCAGATTCTGTCGACGAAGCCAAACGTGCCCGGGTCTGGGAACGCCGATATCGTTCCGCATCTGCCGAAACGTACCGACGGCAATAAAATGTTCTGGGCGCGGAAACGCGATTCGCCGAACGGTCGTACGGAGAAGAATCGAGAGGATCGCGGGCCGGCATTATGCGAAGTAGTTAACATGTTATATTTAGCATGATAATACGTATCCACAATACCGGGGACCCTTATAAACTGCCAACGCTCTCTCAGTGCACATACTTCGTCCCTCTCGCTCCCTCTAGCCGCGCGTTCTTTTTATCCTTCCCTTTTCTGCCATCCCTGGTCTCGTCCTTGCCGTGTCGTGGCAACCTCCGCCAGGTTCACTATTCTCCTCCTTCTCCCCACTCCCTCTCTCTCTCTATCTCTCTGTCTCTCTTTCTCTTACTCTTCCATACACCGACAACACTAGAGTCCTCGTGTCTCTTTCGTCCTCTTTCTGCCCGCTGAAC